TTGTACACTTATGTACTTATACATGATACGTGTAAATGAATTGTAGTAATCAAATAGAAGAGTATATCGTCAGATGTATTTGGTGACTATTATTAAAAATATATGTAGTGTTTAAACTAATATAGCATATGGTGAATCATCCGAAAATGTATAGTGAGTTACGTTTTATAAAATACGCATTATAGGTGTTCGTCTCTATACTCAACAGAGGTTATGAGTTCATATTGGTAAATCGCCCGATAACGTGATACTTGAATCATTCTGATTGGTCAATTTTGTAGCATTTCGACATTTAGCATTTTTCGCAAATCAAAATAAAACTTACCGTACTTAATAAAGTACAGTATTGAAGTTTTATCCTACTGTAAATGAAAAAAAAGATACTCAAAAGATTAAACAGTTTCAGGAGCTCAAGATTATGTCCGTACTTTAATCGAAAATTAATATAGTGGTAAAAATATTGATCGATCGATTTAGTGATGGTTGAATGGACGTTCGTGAAAGTAACAAACAGTAACAAACATTTGAGAAAATCGGCAGCCTGCGTAGATGATCAAGAACGCTAGAAAATTTTCTATGTTTTAATAAGACGATAACTTTAAGAAAATAAAACTTTAAAATGGTTAGAAATAAGTTACTTGTATTAAAATTCGATTTTTTTATATATAAACAATTAATATGTGTATTCATATTGTTACGACATAGGGTTCGGGGTAAAAAAATAAACGCCATATTAATTTATCTAACACAATAAAAATACCAAAACAAATACAACAACAAAATACACACTTCGACTTCAATACCTCGCGTCAACAATAACTCTTCACAATACTATTTAATCGTCCAGATAGTTCACTTTACCAAACATCTAGAATGTTCTAGGTTGTCTTGTGTAGTTCATGAACCTAATAGGACTTATAATTCACTAGAATCTACAATATGAGCCGTATGTCAAAGCAGAATATCACCTCTATTCTTTAATTCGTAGAGTTTATTTTTGTTTAGACATATTGTTCACTGAAATATTGGACAGTAACATTCGTAATTGTATCGTTTGAGGCTACTGGCACTTACAGCAGATACAACCATTTTTTTCTTGTATTTATGAGTTTTAATTACATAGAATAATAGGTTTTATGAGAATAAGCATCAATACTGATTAATTTAAAACAGTTTTTTGAAATTTATCCAATCCCCTATTTAAAAAATAGACACACAATCACACATTTCAAGCAATCTTTGTAAGTTCGGCGAAAGAATAGTGTCATTAAAGACATAATTTATTACTATTTAAGGGAGATAAATTAATAATAATTTAATACTGCATCACAGTTTTGTAGAAAAGGTACAAAACTGTGACATTATGTAACATTATGAATAACTCAATATATAGCCGTGATTTATTGATTATGCAAAAAAAACGTATTTCATATTCTTCAATAATCCACTGACAGAATATTTAAAACTATCCTTATAAATTTCAACGCATGGTCGTTTAAGGCGTATCGAACGAGTTTTAGTTCTATTCTGCCTACTATTATAGGCAAATTAGAACTATTAGAACGAATTAGTTCATTAAACGAAATCTACCAGGACGAAGCGCTCTTTTCGATGACTGAGCAAGCACAAAACTAGTTCTAGGTTAGGTAGACAACATTCTAGGTTGGCCTCGGCCCTATCGGTGTATTCCCGGTGTAATCGAGACTTTACCAAGAAGCTCTAGGACACCTACCCGTCCTTTTCTTCCCCAGTGACCGTCCTTTACGCAATGACGTATACCTAAATGACACACGTAGTTTCGATGGTATTAGCGCGATTTAAAGGACACGTAATGCCATAGGCGGTAGTAACGGGTAGATGAAATATCATGCCACTGCGCTCCGTAACAATATTTATACACAATTAATAAAGCAATCTGCATAGTGATCACAAACAAGCTACAAGTTACTGAAACAAAAAAAGCACAACAACATTCAGACCTTCCTTATGGATGGCATCGATTGAATCGAACAAGGAGAATGGGCAATGATCCACCACACGGGCCCATTGAGAATTGGTGAGTATTAACGACTACAGTTGCAGCCGAGACCAACAACTCAACGTGCCTTTCGAAGCACGGAGGAGTTCGAGATAATAAATTTTTGACCATTGTGAAAGTTGCATAACAAACGCATCGCAGACCGAGCGCTCTAACCACAGCACCATCGAGCTCATTTTTTTCTATAACAATAAAAATTATATCATCGGTATTTTATTATGGTATCCATATAAATTATATGTAGTTTCGTTTCTCTCGTTTATAATATACGCGAACTGTGTAGTAATGATGAATCATATTTTGGACTCTTAACATTTAATTAAACACTTTCTACTAAATGCATATGCATACAAAAAGGCTAAGTTTGTTCAGGCTAATTTCTGTAACGACTGGACTGATTTTAACGGGACTTTCACTGACAGATAGCTTATGCAATAAGGAGTAACTTTCCACGTAGGCGAAGTCGCGGGCACAGCTAGTTAATAATATAAAATACAGGTGGAGACAAAAAATCTATTGTAACTATTGCATAGTGTTAACAATTAATTGTATTTCAATTAGACAGACTTGGACTATATTACATAACAATTATACGTAAGAAAGAAAATGGAAGGAAATGAAATGCTAATAAATACGGTACTAGCGGAGAGTGAAACTGTACGACACGCAATATGAACGACTGGTTATAATGATACACTTCTATTGGCATAAACTAAATTTAGTTTGAACTCAGTCAATCTGTGTTTTTATATATATGGCAGTCACGACTTGTGCATTTTGCCAATGTCACGTAAAATAGACTTCAAAAAGGAGGTTATCTTTTCGACCTGTCTGGAATAGCTAATGTAACCATTTTTTCGTGTCAATGCGGGATGCGAGAATTTTGTAAATAAATAAATATAAATACATAGGGCCGATTTAGCTCAGTGGTGTAGTGGATAAGCATCGCCACCTGCAATCTTTATTGTTAAGCAATTCTCATAAGGATCGGTCAAGGAATAGGTGACAATAAAATGTTATCTCGGGTTATACATTGCATCGGAAGGAACGTAAAGTCGTAAAGCCCTTCTAATCCGCATTGGGCCAGCGTGGAGGTATCATCCTCCATACATAAGGAGGGCTTGAGCCCCTGCAGTGGGGATGTAAAAAGGCAGATGATGATAGTCGACGTAAGATGAAGAGCAAAATAGAAATTGTGGTTTCAAATATAACTGAATAATTGATGAATCTTACGCTTCTGAGGGTTATTTTTAAGAAATTTTAATGTTGACAAATAACTAAGTAGGTATATAAAGGTTCGTTTGTAAAAACGGAATATTTTTAATCTTGTTAAGGACGGACGGGAGGACATAAAGTCACGTTAGGAATGGCCAAATATTCGTTATTGCCAATAATCGTTAGTCTATACGGGCTTCTAAATACGTATACGGAATTTTGTAAGTTTTTGTATGTGTATTTGTCCACGTATTTCTCACAAATTACACATCGGATCATAATTATTATTTTTTTAGTTTATTAATAAGCTTGTAACTTAAGAATCAGTACCAATTTCATTAAAATCGTTACAAGTTATTTCATTATTTAAAAAATGTGCTTACCATTTCTTAATAGAGACGACAAAAAAGAATCTATTCCTAATTTTGATAAGTTTCATTCATCACACAAAGCTAGCTATTTTAAAAGGAAACCTTTTCATGCGTTTAAAAATTAAAAATAAGAATAATATGGCGGTCTTTAGTGCGACGGACTTTTATGATACATCGCTATTGGAACTATTTGTTTTGGTATTGAAACCGGGGAATGTATAAGTAAATACGGACGTTTGGAAAACATTTGCGCCCGTTTACGATGAATCGAATGATACACGATCTATTGTTTTCAAATAGCGTAAGGAGACAATGTAAATGAAATATTATTTGTTAGTAGCTTATAGACTTTGACCGGACCTTAAGGAGTTTTCAGGCGAATAAAATTACATTAACTATATAGTAATCCAGATTAAAGATCTGTATATCATATGCTTCAAACTACCAACCCATCATCGTTATTCAATTATTAAATTGCTGTCAATTATTATTCTTGATCAATTTTGCAATAATATAAATTAATTGTAACAATAAATTATCGGGATTAAATGGGCGACTTCTGAGCTTAGTGAAAACACGCAACTTACCGTTTTAGGCACACGATCCGTCATCCTCTATCCTTATTTATCATATTGCGCATGTAATGAAATGTCTAGAAGCACTAGTTTTGGCTTTACGCTCGTTCTCAATAGGAAAAGACATGAGGCTAATCCTACCTGTGGCAATCAAATCTTTAATAGTACATACAGAAAAATGAATGAAATTGAAAAAAAAAATCGTCATGATGTAATGAAAAAGTAAAAGAGCTGCCATTTGATAGCGAGTTTGCAAACAGATGAAACTGTTCTGCGCCACTGAACTGCAGAAACCGTTTTTTGCGTAGCAATTACGATTTCAAATGTAAGTAGATACTTGTCGGAGATTATAATGGTGGATGATAATGGCGGGAGAAGATTTCAACGATGTTCGTTTCTTTCATACGCTTTACGCCTTTTTAGCTAGAAAATGTTTTATAACCTAATTAAAATAATTCGATGGAGAAGAATATGAATATATGAGGTCTTTAATTTATTTCAAACTAGATGTTTTCTCGCGGCTAGGCTCGCGTATAGCCCAGGTTATCCGCGTATAATGTAGCTTCGTAGGCGAAGGAATATTTTAATTCAGCCCCGTAATTTAGAACTTATAAAATGTAAAGAAATAAACGATCAAATCTTTTTTTTTCTATTTCGGACATTGATCCGTCTGGGAAACGATCCCAGTAAATTAAAGATGGCGACAGTTGGAAACCGACTTGCGAGCCGGTTATGTTGTCCCTCATTAGTTGCAACCAAACTCTTTAAATGCTGTACATGACGTCACTCTTATTCTTACAGACGGCAAAACTGGCATGTGACTGCATCAAAACGCAACTATGCACGATAGCAGTATCGATGTCCCTCTTCAATTCGACGCGACTACCGCGGGAGGCGTTCGTGTACGGCGCCGTCCCTTACCTGGTGGTCTACTCGTTTTGGCTGCTGGTGGTTGGCTTACCGGTAGTATTATTACAGTTGGCAATGGGACAGCTCAGCCAACAAGATGCAGTTGGAGTTTGGAGAGCAGTGCCAATATTGAGAGGTAAATTGAATGATTCATTTTATTGTTGTGTCACACACACCTAAACCTCAATGGCATAGTTGTTACCTCGAGATCTTCCGTGCTTCAGAATGCAATTTAAACCGTTGGTTCCGGCTACGTATACAGTCGTTAATACCTAGTAATCCACACTGGACCCGCGTGGTGGGTCATAGCTAATTTGATTCGTTTCCATCCATAGGCCTGAGCCCCAGCAGAGGGGATCTTAATAAATTGGTGATGATGATTATGTGAAGATATAACAAAAAGAATTAAGTAACATTATTAGATCATATAGAATAGCATTATGAAATCTAAATTAATCAGGAATAATTATCATTAAATCTTAAAAATTTAAAACCCAACTAAATTATAGCCTATTTCTCTCGCGTATGATATAGATTCTTGTAGATAAAAGAATTTCCATAATCGGATCAGTATCTACGAAATCTTATAATAACTTACAAACAAACAAAGATATAAACATCACTTTCTTAATAGTGAAAAGTTCTCGAATGGCGTCCACATACCGGACGACGCTTAGTGGGTAGTCCACAACTAGGTGGACCGACAATTTAATAAAAGTTACGGGAAACTGCTGGATATGGGCAGCGTAGGTCCGATCGTCGTGGAAACCCGTGGGATAGGTCTATGCCCAGCAATGTACGTCGACAACAGAGCCGATTTTCACCTGATATGTCGATAATTTTACGTTTTATCATCAAAGGGAGAAAAAGATTTAGAAAATTCAAAAGTGCTCGTAATAAGCTATCTTAAATAAAGAAAATTTCATTTCATATAACTACCATTAAAAAGTTCTTTGTTTAATTTTCTATCGCGTTGAAATAGCCATTACATATACATAAACGCCGAACTGTCACAAACATAGAAACAGAGTACACAATACGAAACACAATTTTATACTGAATATCTTCTGGTGATGTTATCTAGAATCATTATGATATGCTGTTTGTAGATTTATTAATTCACACAATCATACATTACGATCAATGCATTAGTGTCGATTAATGGTATGAAGATATAATTGCTTTCCGTAGTTAAGCACGAATGACATTATAAAGGCAGTCGGACACTACTCTTTGTTGCATCTAGGGTGCCTTATACAGAATAATAATAGTTTCACTCCATATATATTACACAAATATAATTTTTCAATATCTATAATTACTGTAATCTAACCCTCTAAAACTTTAATACTACAAGTATACGAAGCTTGGAACGTTCTGTTCATGGGTATTAAATTATTAATCTTAATATGTATTCGCTAATCATATAACTTTTTTTATTTTATTTTGTTGTCGTAACAATCAAAACTTAACCATAATAAAATTCTGTACTTTTCTGACTCGGGTTCATCTTGTTGATTAACAAGTATTTTCTTTCAAATTCTGTATTTATACTGTATTTATTGACCTGAAAATCGATTTACTCTATAGAATGAACTCAATAATATCAAGTTTTTATATGTATATTTTTTATAACCACATCACTAAAAACTTCAATATCCAAATGTTACCGTACTTAAGTTATACGAAAAACTCTATACCATATGTAAAACCCTATACTGTATTTAATGCCTCCACAAATTAATTACTACATCTACATAAAAAGCACTTTGAAGAGATTAAAAAAGATAGAGCAAGCGTTCACATTGAGTTGTTTATGTCTGAGTTACCTACACTAAAATACATTAACAGTTAATTGTTAACTAGTTTTCCACCACGGCTTCACTCGCGTGTTCCTGTATATATGTAAAATTCTTCCGTTACTGCGTGACTGACTGACTGACAGACAACTTATAGCCGAAACTACTGAGCGTAGATAGTTGAAATTTGGAGCACTAAGAGAGGATTATTGAAAAATCCATCCCGAAGGGGCTTGAAAATTTGTATGAAACTTCGTTATTATAAGTGCTAGGAGTTTCAAATTTTGCATACGGGTTTTTTTTAGGACTTAGTGCTCACTAAGATGGGATTTTACATAAATTCGATCCCAAAGGGGTTCAATTAGGGGATGAAAGTTTTCATGCAATTTTCTCATTTCTGGTTTTAAAACTAGACCACGTGGGCGAAGTCGCAGGCAATTATACATAAAAACCTTTCGTTTGAATCACCCGATCAAAATCGCACCGTTTCGAAATACGTTGCATAATTTTAAAGATCTAAGTAAACATAGGGACAAGGGAAGGGAAAGTGAAATTGTTTTATTCTATTTATTGAGGACCAATAGGAATCTTCTAGTCATTAGTAAAAGAAAAGCGCCTCATAATATGTATGTTATTTAATACAATTTGGAATAAAATAGTTTTAATGAGTATTTATCTTTTAGATGAATAATTTAAAGAAAACTGTACAGATACCGAGTCAAGATTTGAACTCGCAACCTTCTGCTAATTGATCGACTGTATGATTTAACTTATTCTAGTCATTCAAAAGTGTTATAAGAATAAAGCATTGTGAAATTAATTCTTATCAAATAACTATACCGTTTGTGTTTCATAAAAAAAAATCATAGCTTATTATAATTCGGAGGTTAATCGACTTTAGTGAAGGTCGGGTATAGGATAGGTGACCAATATCCTCTTGCGCTAGTCCTGGCTTCAGAAGACATGCTAAGCTGTTAGTTTAACTGCATCTGAAATCTTTTACACGTCAAATCATATTACGTTTACTTATCCTTATCCAATTCTATCCTCAGGGAAGGTCTTTGTACCAGCAGCGATATTATAAGGCTGATGATATTCGTTCATAGATAAAAATATATAATTTTGCTATAATTATAGGTGTGGGTCATTTAAAATTGCTGACGTCATACCTGTGCTGCATATACAGTGTAATGTATGTGGCAGTTGCAATGGCTTTTCTGATATGGATTGGGAAAGGACCATTCCCACTGAAGGACTGCACACGTCTGCGTATAACCCCGGTAATTTAGTCTTATTAGATATCAGGCTTAAAGATAAGTTAGAAATTCGTGTACACGTTCGTATCGAAATTCTAAATGTTTTTTTACAAAAACCTACCGTTTCTGTCAGTTATTCAAGGTCAAAGGTTAATCAGTTTTGCGCAATTATTTTGCTTATTTATTACTCCTAAGATGTTATCAAAATCATGCAGAGTTAAATTTGTATTTCTTCTCAACATTTTTTTGTCAACTCAACTGTTTTTGACTAAAAAGTGCGAGAGTATAAAAACACAACAGTGAACTTTGGTGAATTAATGTCTTGTATTTTTTTAACAACACAAACGATTCCTTTCATTTGCGAATAAAGCTTTTCGTGACCTTTGACCTTGAAATATGTGGAACGGTTTTATAAAGAGTTTTAAGACGTTTAATACGCTAAAATGAAACATATCGCGATTTATTTAACGCCCATTCCGAGTTTAAACACTTATTAGACAACACCACATACATTGTTCAATTCCCAAGTTAAATAGCTAAAGCATTTGCGTTATGGCAATCTGAAACAACAAAGGTAACAAAATATCCAGGCCAAAGACAATATAGTACAATTTCTATATTGTCCGGCCGGGAATCGAATCGGGACGTTAGAGATGGTGTCATTTTGAAACCTGCGGACGAGCCACTTAGCTTCGAAGGTAGTCAGTATGGGATGACAGATGAATCTCATAGCGAAATTTTAAGCCAGATAACTTTGACAAATTGAGTTATAATAAAAACTTGTATGTTTTTATATTGAAATATTTTTTATTTATATTTCAGCGCGGATACGAGAATAAGATGAATGCATCAGAATGTTTTAGGTAAGAACAATTCGACCTTTGTGCCAAACAAAAGATCTTTGCCATTCGTATTAAATATAATAAGATAATGCCATTTATTTATTTTTAATTTGATTGTGCGAACCCATGTTTAATATCATAACTATTATAATGGTAGGTGACGTAATGTTTTATATACGTCATATTTTTTAATGTTAGGTTTAGTTTAAATAAACGTTCGAATAAGCTGTAATTTACAATGAGAAATTGTTTTTTTTTATATTTTTAAGAGTTGTTAGAGCGAAAACGTGAATTTTTAATGTTTTATCTGTAGTAAAATAACATAGTTATCCCTAAAATTCATAGTTCTTTCCATCTATTGTACCCATAAGTAATTATTTAGATAATTTGTCACGCAATTCAATACCCAATTCAATCTCACTGTCTGGTACAATTAACGTGCACACTCTTTTGACTTTACACCCCCAGTAACAGTTATATTGAATAAAATATATTGATTTTGAATTCATATCTTTCTGTTTCAGTACAACATTTTTAACGCCGTTCACTGAACACCCACAATACTTGGGCATAATGGGCATCCTGATATTTATTTTGTGGTTTTTCGTGCCAATACTGTGAGTATTTTTTAAGACATATAAAATCCTACCTACTCTTTAAGTATGATTAGGATTATATACGTCAAGTATTAGTGGAATAGAAAAGTATTGATATCATAATAAATTGTGCATGTTTGGAATTTGTTTTCTTCTACAAAATCTTGGTCAGAACACTAAAATAAATACCTACATTATAATAATCATTAATTATTTTATATTAAAAATAAATAGTGTATACAATACCGAGTAAATATAAATGATAAGATTGACCAATTGATCACAATAATAGTATTTTAAAAGTAGCTTCATAATAACCCAATGTACAGAAACAACCTTCACATAAAAATATAAATTTGTGTGGTTGTGTTTTTAAGAGCATACATTTCATTTTGACTTTTTAGTGGTAAAGGCTCGTTTTAAGTGAAGTGCATTAAAATAATCAAGGTTAACATTACAGAGACTACTTACCTATGCATTAGAAGACATACGAATATTTATCGAAATATTACATATCGATGTAACCATTAACAATAGCAAATACGATTCACATTAGATTTAAGAACTCTTTTTTTGCACTTAAACCTTTGTACACACAGCAGCAGCTCGTGTTACTACACTATATCAAAATTAATTTGGAACTCTACCTTAAATGCATTAAGGTAACTCGACAGATCGAATTACAAATGAGTCATAATAATCTATCAATTATGGTGGTAATGTATGGTGGAAAAATAAGGTACTAATTATAATCTTTATTTGAGAAAATATGGTTACAGGGTAATTATACAATTTTCGACCAGCACATTTTATCGTCAAGACGATGTGCAAATATTAAAGACAAAATACAATAAATTGACTGATTCTATGATAAAAAATGTCAATTATTTTCTTTTAAATAGCGAATATCAAATCATAGTCATATAAGATGCAATAGGTTCATATTATAATCAAAGGATTCATACAATAATTAAGAATGAGATTGTATAATATTTTTTGTCCATTAATAATTTAAATAAATAGGATTTTAATTAAATAACATTTTAATCTAGTAACATTATCAATAGGTACTTTTAATATTATTCGTTAATTTATGTAATAAATGTGTATTGTCATACAATATGAGTTCTTCGAATTAACAATGAGTTTTCGAATTGGAATAAATTAATTTGTACACTTCCTACATCTATGTGCAAAATATTTAGTTTGTTAATTAATTCAAATGTTTTTTAAATATATAATGGAAGTGGTAATACATATTATGCTTTAAACAAAGGCTTACGTGAGTCCAAGTAGCTTGCACCACAGACTGTACATTTCATTGCGATAGGTCACGGGTTCGAGTCCCATCTCAATATGCCCGGGACACTTTTAATGAAGAAATTTTTTCAGTATAGCTTTGTGAATGCAATATTGATCAAATATAATAATATTTATATATGTTGTAGTTATGAAGAATACTTATTAATTTTCTAGGGTATCTGTTATTTTAACATGTCAATTTTCCAGTGGCCACATAATTTTTTTTTTCCTTTCACTTGATTGTCTATTAAGAAAATTTTATAGTTGCATAAAAAATATGTCAATATTTGATGTTGGTGTACTATAAATACAAATTATATTGTAAATTTCCGTAGCGTAACATTCAATCATAAATGGTATGGCTTCTGTTATGTCGTATGTTTTTGAATCTAAATTATTTTTTAGCAATAAGCAACTACCGCTCCAACAAAACGCGGAAGCTATGTAGTTTATATTCAGGTTACACTAAGAACCTTGTTTCATTAATGTTTCGGTTAAACATATCATGTCAATATTCCTTAATTCAGTTTTGAGTTATTCTAATGTTATTTCAAATAAATCACATTTGCTTAGAATGCCTGCTGTGTTCTGGTGAAATGTGGGAACTCGATTTTTGCAAACGGAAAAATTTATCATTTGACCGTTGATTTATCTATTACTTTTTTTTAGTAGAACGGTATAGTTTTCTATATCAGATTTGTTTTTATTCTTATATTCGCAATTTATTATCGTACATACTTGATTTAAATAATAATTTATATTGTCAAAAAAATATTAGTATTTAATTCAAGAAAATTCCAAATGGGATAGTTTTTAATTAATAATTTTATATTATAATATAACAAATATTCTTTAAAATAAAGTTTAAATTACAATAAAACATTTAGAGTGCCTTAATTTATATAAAGCTATACTTAACTCCGAAAATAATAATTTGAGATTCTGTATTTCATCCCAATTGCTAAAATAACAACATAATTTTTGTCGAACTTTAAATCATTATAACTATGTAGTAAATATTTGGGAGCATGTAGCTTCGAGTGTCACTATTGTGGTTATGGAGTAGGGGTCGTTATGCAAATGTTTCCTTTTAGCATAAATTCTTTGTGACAAATACTGTATTTCTTCATCTCCCAGTAATAATACCTTGTTCATAATAATTCTGCGTATGTGTGGCGCCATCTCTCGAATTCATGACGTTATCTGTGAATGCAATCAAATGAGCATCATTTGAAATATAATTAACGCATTTTTGAAAATAATGCGGGTAGTCACTAATTTTAGTTAAGTCAACTAACTGTGGAGTATTTAATAAAACTATTAATCATATGAAGCGGATATATTTTCGAATCATGATGACAGTTTATGGGAGTTATTTTATTTCTAAGTGGTTTAAAAGTTTCTTTTCGTTGACCTATTTCAGATGTGTTTTTTTAATAGTAACAATCTATGTGCTATGGTTTTAGTTAAATCATTATTTTGTAAGTTTAAGTTATCGATTTCTTGCTCAGCCTGTTGAAGCATAATTTTTAAATTCTCGATTAGCTGTGAATGCTCCTTGTCGTAATTCGTGCGACACTGCATTTCACTGTAAGTACTAAGCATTGTGGAAACCAATATTCTGGGTTTGGTGATATATATTCTATATTTGGTTGTGTGATATATCCAAGTCATAGTTTGCTGTTCTCAGTCTCGGCCATATAGTTGTAATTTCCATGTCGATATAGATTCTCAGTCTCGGCCATACTTTCCATGTCGATATAGATAAAGTAATTAATAATAAATTTATATATTGGTATGTTTTTAAAAGCAGTTAACTAATCCAATAAAAATAAACTTAAGCAAAAAAAAAAAAATAATAAAAATCAAGTATGCTGTGATTTGATCCTATGCATCGATACTCAAACGCAAGGCGCGGATCCACAGCGCCACAGAGAGCTAAAATTTAGAAACGAATCTATGTAATAGACTGTGCTACATCGGCTTATTCAGAGATTGCCGTATGTAATCGTTTTATCTATCAACGAAGTCGGCTGTTTCACTCACTATCTGCATAACGTAATCTCTTCAAGTGTCGTATAAATATGTTTAATAATAGAATGCAATGATTTAACGTTTAAACAAAATTAACGTATACTTGAATCTATTTCTTGATTTATAAACGCTTTTCACGCGTATTGTTTAATGTTTTGGATGTTATATCGATTTATATTTCACTTCATTGTATTATATACTTGCGTTCCGCCAGCGGCTTCGCCGGCGTGGTTTTGTATTATACATAAAAACCTTCCTTTTGAATCACCCTATCTAGGAAAAAACAGCATCAAAATTCGTTGCGTAGTTTTAAAGATTTAAGCATACATAAGGACAGAGAAAGTTTTATATTATGTAGTATTTATTTCTTTATAGTTTGATAGTTATTTTTTAAATTATTTTATTCATTATCACCTTGCATAGTTTGTATCTTGACAATAAGTTATTTATTTTTGTGGATAACATTTTTACATAAATAACTTTTCACTTTAAACTTATTCTATATACTTTTAACGACGATTTACTATTATTATTATTATTATTTACTATTATTACGAATAAAAGTCCGGAGCTAATATATTAGGCAAGCGTCTTATGTTTACAAATTATTCTAAAGAATAAAGTCATTAATTGAAATTAAAGTTAGTGAAATATAAAATAGGTTTTGTATACATTTTAAATAAGACTATTCTATACTATTATTATAAAGAGACAAAATTTCTAACTTAATTTGATTGTTATCATGAAACTTCTTACACTCACGGAAAGTTAAATCATACGCGGTTGATAAAGGTTATAACTTATGCGGGCGTAGTCGTGGATAAACAGCTAGTATACTATTATTTCTGGGTAAATAAATTGCTATTTCCAATAAAAATCCACAAAATGTAATTGACCAACCCGTAAATAAATTTAAAAATTCATGTAATAAAAGTCAAAGCAATACTTAGGAGTCAAGGCTATTTTAAAGGTGATGATTATTTTAAGGACCGCAATGCATGGAATTAATAGCCTTCGCTTTGTTTTATAACGACTAATTATATGTTCAACCTATGTCCTACAGACTTTGAAAGTTGTATTTATTATTGTGATAATACATACTATTTTGGTAATGACATGATTTATGTAAATGTCATTACTTATAATAAAAACCTGGTAAGTTTCTTTCGCTTTTTCTTCTTGTCAGCTAAAAGACGTCCCGAACGAGTGGTAGGCGATTTTTTTTTTGACGATCCAAATATGCTTATAACAAGCTTACTTGAATAAAGTCATTTTCATTTCATTAAAAATAAGCTCTATTTATCTGTACACGATGAAATCACACGCAAAAATAATCACGGAACTACCAACAAAAATTTGCGGAGTAGTAGGTAAAATACGTATTTTACCTATCCACGGGGTATCCTCAAGAGTTGTTAGACCATATAGTGTCAAATACTGAATCAGTCGATATTGCTTATTAGCAGGAAGACGAATGGTGTACAAATATTTTCCAATTCCTATCCTATTCGTACGCTACAAACTAATATTGATTAAAGTTTAATAGTTCCTACGATCGATTTCCATAACACACATCTAATTCTGATACATCATCATCACCAGCTTATTAATTTCCCCACTGCTAGGGTAAGGGTCATATAACTAAATCGAATCGAATAGAGAGAATGGGCCATAACCCACCAAATTCGTGGGTGTAGATGTAGCTGAGAGCAACAGCTTAATATGCCTTACAACCTTATACTGCTCTATCGAGCCCCAGTAATTAATAACATAATAAAAATTAAATCTTAAAAATATGTCAGTATATGGTTATCATATCTAGAATTCGATTATGTTTAATTTAAGTCAGTTAACTCTCGATCGAAATATTTTTCATAACGAAAGTAAGCTACGCGTCTTTAGCACCCACCAATCCCCATTAAGGCCGCGTTGTGGGTTATCAATTCTATCTTTCTCAATTCTATTTGATTCCCTCTATAAAGAAGACATGTGCTCGAGCAGTACGTACATTAATAATATGGTGGTGGTTATATAGCTTTTAATAAATAACAGCTTTCTTCATTACAGATTATACCGACTTCGAAAATCATTGAAAACCTCTCTCAATGTGTTAGCACCGGTGATAGTTATTATTGCAGTCGTTCTATGTACATTTACGTCTAACGTTGAATCATTGAATTCGATGTTCGAGTCCTGCGAGCAATGGACACCGTTAACACAGCCGTACATATGGCATAGTGCCTTAGTACAGGCATTGATGTCGACGCAAATTTTAACAGGCTTCCTAATCAGTGGTGGAGGCACTATTTATAGACATTCAGATGTTCGGTGGTAAGATTATTGCTTAAATTTATGAAAATAATTAAATTTCATATTCAAATTTGATTTAGAACTACTTCGACGGCGGATAAGCAACGGGTTAAAAATTCAATATATATTTTTTTTAACTCACAATTAGTTCGTAATATTTTGAGATATTTACAAATATCTAAAGAGGTTCCCTGTCAATTTGAATAAATGTTTAAATAAAATATTTTGGCATACGTCTCTTTGTCCTAATTATATTTACGTATAACACCATTTACAAAAAAAAAACCTGGGAATCTTAGTTTTAATGTAATTTAAACAATTGATTGCTGATTTCATTTCTAGTAAGATTATGCACATCAAAATAAGCCTAGGAGTCAAAAACGCTACCATGTACTCTATGCCAAAAACATTATGGCAAATTATCATTATTTAATATTATGCTAAATTAGGGACAATATGAATAAAAAGGGGTGAGTCGGCGTTTATCACTTGGAAGCCTGAGGTCTAAATTACAATGAAATTAAACTTGTCTGAATTTTTCCTCGAGTCTCATTTAGTCTGGGATACGAGGGCTCATTCTCTAGCAAAAGGGACATTTAGTATACTGATGATGAATTTTAATTTTAAATAATTATAACTTTTTAGGACTTCAATGTCAATCATAACAACAAACCTCCTCTCCAGTTGGATATGGGTATTAATCTGGGAATCGATTGGAGGCACTTCAAAGAAAGACACCAGTTTTATAGCCATCCTTGTCTTGATATACCAATCCAGTGTATCAGAGAAGAGGACGAAGGAGTGGCCTATTATCTCCTTCGGAATCGTTTTCATTTCTGGCATTATCACTTTGGTGAGTATAATCTGCATAGTGAGAACTTAATTACTTAAGTGTTTGTCTAGCAGAATATGCGATATAATAATGCTTATTTATAAAACAGTCTTTATTAACATGGCCAATTTCTTAATAATATAAATTAACAATATGTAAAATTTACAGTCAGTGATATTATTTTACTTTAAATTATTTATAGTTTGAAATATGGTAACTTTTTTTTCTAGCTAACTTTACTCTTTCCAATATACGACAAACTCCATCGTCTAGTCAGAGACCATTGGCGGTTCTATGCAGCAGCTCTATCAACTGTAGGCACAGCATTCTCAGTTGCTGTGCTAGCTAGAAGTTTAGAGGTAGTTACCGTCTTAGATGAGATGGTAGTTCCAGTATTAACAATTTTCACTACTACTCTTGAAGTTGTTGGTTTTGCTTTCGTGTATGGTAAGAAAATTTGTGAATTTTGAATTATTTTCAAATTCTTAAATATAGTTTGATTGATTTAAGAAGACCATATTCAAACATATATGAAATACAAGAAACAATGTTCCAGGAAGTTCAAAAGAAAAAGACGAGATTAATATATTTTTAAATCAATATCTTCCAACAAAGAATTCATTACAGTGTTACTATTTCGATTTCAGGATGGTTCTACCTGTCTGTGGATATTGAATTTCTTACCGGAAATAAACTGCCATGTTTCTGGGCGGTCAGTTGGTGGACAATTCCTGTATTTATCATTGGCGTAACTGGATGGTGGTTGCGGACCTTGATCAGGGCTAGTTGGAGTCAAGATCAAACGTTGTGGCCATTAGTTGGGGTCTTCATAGGGATACTGGTTATTATGATACTAATGGCAGCTGTTGCAGTAGTAAAAGAAGAGCAGTTCAATTTAGTTTCTGTGAGTAATAAACTTAAAGTAAAAGACGAAAAATGAAATAGATGCTATTATCTAATATCGGAATATTTTTTAGAAATTGATTAATATTAAGATTGTGGGAATCCAAATAGACATTTTATATTTTAACTAAATTACCGCCAGCGGCTTCGCCAGCTAGCTCCTGTATTATATGTGTGAACTTTCCTCTTGAAACACTCTGTACTATTATATTTTAATTATTATCTATATGGCATAAATTATCATTTTCGATTAACTTCTAAATTAAAAAAGGAGGAGGTTCAACGTCAGACTGATACACAATTTTCATATACAGTAGGACCTCGTTAAGTCGAACCTCGATAAGTCGAAAATCTCCGAATCTCGAAAAAATGTTTTGTCACCTTCCCTTCAAACACCAAAACCTCCATTACTCGAAATTTCAACCCTCTATTAGTCGAAATAATCAGAGAGTCCCTGTAAGCCATTTTGGTACATATTTTCCCTCTATAACTCGAAAAATTAAATTGGACCTCTGTATCTCAAACATAGCAATGTTTGATTTTACAACCTTTACAACTCGACTATTTGAAACTTATCACCTCTATAGCTCGAAGAAAAATACATACTACATGCGCTCCATGGGTTTCCATCAAAGAGGCAAGAACAGCATTGAATACTTTACGGAATTTTATAGAGCAAACCAGCAACTCTGAAGAAAAGATTTTTCTGCTCTTTATACCATAGACAATGCTATAGATAGAGAACAACCAAACTATCTAAAACAAAAAAAAAAATACTGACTTCTTTTAATTACATATTTTTTATTTAAGGATGTTTAGAACATTGTTGATTTGTAATACAAAAATTATAATATGTTTATCACCTCTGCAATTAAAATTTTTATTTATTTTACCTCACTAACTGAAAATAATAAGAATGAATCTCAACCTCTTTATGTCGAAACAAAATCCGCCTAAGTCGAAATCCTCTATAATTCGAAAACTCTATAACTCGAATTTTTTGGCGTCTCCCTTGATGTTCGACTTATAGAGGTTCGACTGTATATTTTTTTGCTAATTTCAAACCGTATTTCGAAATTATTTTATTCGAAAGCTTAAAGAATAGAGGTAGTTCTATAAAAAAATAACTGAAATCAGATTTACGATATTATTTTTATAAAAAAATTACTTGAAAAATAACAAATTATTTAGATTACATATTTATGTCGTCGAAACAAACAAAATCGCGTAATTGCTTTCCTTTGACATTTGTGGTGTTAACTTAATTTAATATGTCACTAAAACTAGTAAAATAGAAATCAAATTGCCTTTATTAATTTTTATGTATGCACACTTGCAGATGTCTATGTTTGTTGTTAAATTTATATAAAAAACCATCATTGTACAATATATTACGTATGTCATTTTTTTTTCCAGAAAATAGCTTCAGCATTCAGCTCGTCAAGACTATGGGGCCCCGAGGAGCCAATGGCCAGATATGTTTGGATGTCCCAAAGATACGCTCACGAAGTCCACAGTTCAGACACCGACATACAATCTGAACCAATAAACTATTCCCAGATCGTATTCAATCCAGACCACAACCCCTTCGGCAGCGAATGGTTTAACAAAACGAACGAAATGCACAAACCTTATAATGTTTATAGTAAAACTCCATACGTAGACAATTACGGTGACGTCTACAAAGATATTAGTACTATTTATATGCCACAACCAATAAGAGATATTAAGAAAAAGGAGGATGAAGAGAAATTCAGATCACCGAACGTATGTATAGCTAGAAACGAAATAGGTGGTACATTGAACTGTAATTGTAACAGACATTTTACTTTGAACGTGCCAGATTTAAGAAAATGCGAAGTAACGACGTGCCTTTAGCAATTTTTAGCTAACTCAAATTATGTATAATTTAATCAAATTTATACAATAAACCGAATATCTTTCTAAAGAATCTCAAGCTTCATAACGTTTTAAATTTTAGATGAAAATATTCACACTATATTCTCTTAAGTAATCGCAAGTTCAAGATAAAAACTATTGACAATACCTATTTAAATTCTTTAAAAGCTTAAAGGAATTAATTTATTTTGCTTGTATAAATCTGCAATTAAAATTGAGCCTACCAAAAATAAAGTAACTTATACCAAATCACAGACCACATTATGTAAATCAGTGACTTATTAGTTATTAAGCTATGCCATTAAGAATGTTAGCGTACAACGAAGGTGTTGCCTAGTCGACTTAATTTATTACAATGAGAAAAGAAACACCATTCAAGGAATAAAGTGTTTTTAAGTGATAGTAAGAGTATTTATTTTATTTCTCATTTAGTTTTATTAAATTACAACAGTCACAAATGTTTACTATATATGATAACCACCTGTGGCCTTGTAATAGGTGTTAAAGTATGAAATTGCCGATTTGTACTGAAAATCAAAATTGTTTAATTTTGAATTTTTAACAAATTTATTTAATCAAAATAGTTACCATTATTATCTATACATTGCTGCCATCTAAAAGGAAGGTCATTTATGCCTTTGCGATAGAACTCTGAGGATCTAGACTGCACAAACTGTGTGAAAGTATTTTGTACTGCTTCCTGGGAAGAAAACTTCTTGATAAGTAGATAATTGTCCAAATCATTAAAAAAAATTGTAGTCCGTTAGAGGAAGGTCTGGCGAATACTGTTCCTGAAGGGTCAAACGGTTTCTCGTGCATGGAGCAATAATGGTGAATATCGATTCATGAGTTGGGGCTGTTTTACTACTAGTTTTGCCAACATTGTTCGAAGTTCGAACAATAGAAATCTGCCGTATTGCTTGACCAGATCGGAGAAAAATACAGTGAATAATACCATGCTGAGACCACCAAATAGTTACATTACCTTTTTATTGGTAAGTTTTGCATTAGGACACTGATTTGGCGTTTGATCTGGGGTCAGCCATTGCATTTTTATTTTACAGTTATCATAAAGAATCCACTTTTCATCACATGTTACAATTCGATCCAATATTCCTTCATTTCCGTACCGATTCAACAAGGCAACACAAGTTTCAACACGCGGTTTTTTCTGCAGATCACTCAAATCATGAGGCACCCATTTTTCCTATTCTTTATTTTATTGATTTGACGCAAATGAGTCAATATTGTGGGTAGTTTGACTAGGATCAGCTTCCACCATCTCTCTTAAATCATCGTTATTCACCTGTGTGGGCAGTCTTCCTCATGGCGAGCCACAAGATCTTCAAGTCGAAGTTTCCAACACGAAAGCGTTTAAACCAAAATCGTTTCCGTCACAAAAGCGTTTAAACCAAAACCATTAGCAGATCCCTCTCCAAACACAACATTGATACTGCGGGCTGTTTCTGCCCCGTTACTTCTGCGTCGGAAGTCGTATTCAAAAATCACTCGAATTTTCGCAGTATCCATCTACCTTGTCTAAGTTGAATAACAAAAATAATTGAAAGTCGATATTCAAATGTTTCACATTGTTTAAAAGAAGAACATCATAGAAACTATGTCATAAAAGTTTCTTTCGAAAACCTCAAACCATGAAGATTCGATGTCAATTCAAGGAACCTATTACAATAAAATGGCAATTTCATACTTTAACCCTTAATTCATAAAATTTAACGCCTAGGTAATAAAAGAGAAAAAGATTTTTTAATCAAAGAACTTTTGACGTTTCAATGTCCTTTGTTTTCTTTCACAGAAGGTCAGTAGTTGCAATAATAGTCTTTTGTTTATATTATTAAATGACCACGAGAATAAAAAATGGCAATATGATGACACCATGACTGCAAGGAATTTACAGTGGTGCATTCTAAAATATTTATGAATTGGAAAAATGATTCGAAATAATGGAGCTACTTTCGCTTAATAAATCTGCACTGAGCTTATATTAAAAAAAAGATTTTATGTCACTAACTAAATCATTTTGATATACTTATTTTGCATTTGAATTTGATAATCAGTCGGGGTGCTTTATTTGATTACGTTATTACGTAAATTAAATAAAATCGAATTGGCAATTTTACTGCACACCGCACTTCACACGAGCGTCATTGTGGCCGGATTTCATATTATTTCGCATTAGTAGTATTACTAGCTTTTATCCCGCGAGTTCACATGCGTAAATTATAAATATGGTAAAACGAAACTCACATATCACAGTTGAATAAACTAAAAAAAATTTGCAGTGGAAGGTGAAATAAGAGGAAATATATCAGTTACACAGTAAGCAGTTGACTTCTGATTTATTATCATCATTAGCCTGATTAAATTGTGCCTACAATTAGGGCACAATTTGTTCCACATCAAAAATAAACGTCTAGTGAGAATATACAATAACCGAGCATGAATTGTTGGGTACAATAATATATTTTTGGTTACATATCTGATGTCTGACTATTGCTGAAGTCGATTGACCTCCAAAAGAGCGCGTTAACATTGTGCTATTAAGTTTATAATATCTTATTCTTTAAACAAGAGGTATTGTCGCACTTAAAAATGGTTGGTAATATTATTTAATATTTAGTAATAAAGGTTTTTACATTGTCTATAACAACAAAATAAAGAAAACTTAAGAAGTTTTAGATTAAGAAAAATATAAAAATGATAATCATTCACACCAAACAGTCGAGCCACGGGAAAGAAAAAATGAAAAATGGCCCAAGTTTTTAACATAAATCTCGGAAAACTCTCAAAGTATTACTTGTGAGGATCTCTGCTTCACCTTCTTAAGCGTACTAAGTTATTTTGACAGGTAGCAGGCTAAGGAAATATTGATTGCTTATAACTCTGATGCAGGAAAAAGTTTAAGTAAAATTTTAATAAATATATAAGAAATAACACCTACGGTATATATATCGGACAGTTTTTGTTAAATCAAATTTAAAAACCTTCTTTCTTTGTTGTGGTTAACATATGATAATAACAACAAAGAAAGTAGGTTCTTAAAACTAAACCGCATCAGTAGTTGTTATCACCTACCGTTCCGTACTGGCCCGCGGGTTATGGCTCGTTTCCACTAGTTGATAATTACACAATTTTAAACATTTTTCTGAGAATGCTTTAGTATTAAAAGAATTTGATTTAAACGCTTTAAATGCTTGAATACCAAAATATTCACCATGACAAGTTTAAGGGATACAACTAAGAACAATAGAAGATAGATTCTTATCCTTATTAAAACATTAATAAACACCCTGATGAAAATTTTAAGGAATTCAAGAACATTCAATTGGCAATTCATTTTTTAAATCAAATTCATTATTTTTTTAAGAGTAATTATAAAAATACCACTTAAAATTTGTGCAGCAAAACTACTACTATTAATTAATTAATATGTGTATATATAGTTATAGTTTTGACTATTTTGAAGTAGTATCTAATTAATGATGGATATTAAATTATAAAAGACAATGTATCGAGTAACAGATTTTATTTTTATATTATAAATCAGAATACAATCTAGAGCGGTCTAAAACTAATTCCTTATTTCAATTGTATTAAACATTTATTACATACTAACAAACTATTACTATTACTACTACAACTATATTTTAAAGAAACTGGCACACAAATAAGAATTCTTTATTTCGTTTTTGACGGTATATTCGACCGACACGACGTTTCGAAATTAGCACACTGAAGCATGGTCTCTTTAATAGCGTTTTCCTCCTCTGAAATAATTGGAGACAGTGTAGGATCACATTCTATCACATTATTTTCTTTATCAGCAGCACTATTCTTTATTTATAAAGGCCATTTGCCTTACTATCTTATTAGGAGATACGAGTATATAAGTATAAATTCTGTTGCTGTTACTGGTTGAAAATCGTCCCCATTTTCGACCACGTCCTCTAGGTAATGTATTGTTGTAATATCTCCTTGTACTAGAATTTTTATGAGAATTTCTTTTTGTTCCACGATATTCATTCAATGGATCACTGACCTATTGTTCCAAATTGAGTAAAAATTTGTTGCTATATTAATGTTAATATCCTCTTCTTTTGTAAACCAAATCCGTTGTACTTCTGCAGGAAAATGTCTCATGATACAATTCACTAAACTAAACCTATCTCCCTGGGTAGAGTAAACGATTTGGACAGAATCTACTTGGTCTGCAAAATATTCACTCGTAGTATCTTCTAGCAGCGTCCTATTGCGACTTATTCCAATGATATGGCTTGAAATCGGTTTGGAAATCTTCGAACGTAACCCAGTTTCTTTGAAGTATATCCATTATTTTAGACGCAGGACCTTTTATACATTCCGTTACAATGTATGATGTTTTATCAATTTGATGACGCTATATGTACTTTTAGTTTCCTCAAAAACGGAATAAGATTCTGTAGTTATAAATTCAGTTTGCCTTACGATCGTATTATGAGATTCATATGAGTATTAATTCTTTTGTTCCTCTTACTGATTGGGAAAAGTCTCCATTTTCGACCACGTCTTCTAAGTAATCTTTTATTATTGTTATTGTTGTTTCCCATCTCTTTCTCAATTTTAAATACGCGATGCTGTAACTTTGAAATCTTTTGTAAAATTTCATCGATTTGTGCTAAAGACATTTTGACTTCCTATACTAGAGGTTCCACTTTTTTTCGATTATTCCTTTGGATCTCCTTTCGTCTTTTTAGACTCGTCTGTAAAAATACACCAAAATTAATCAAAGTTTATCTTAAATCCTATTTTCATTACAATTGTATTTAAACTAAATTAGCATTGCACTTTCTTTCTCGGCAACAGCTTAATATTTTTCTGTTATTAATAATGAATTTATTAATACAATTTTATAACGCTGATAGTTCTTTTTTCGCTGTAAATTATACCCATGTATTTATAGCCAATGTTTTAAGACTAGTCCAGTAACTTCAGAGCCTTATCTTTCTTCTTTGTGAGATTAATATAGGTATATACAGAAAACCTATGTTACTCGTACACCAGTTTTGAGTTGTCGTCATTTCTGACATCTCGGATTCAATTCCCGGTCGAGTGCATAATGGCCTTTTCTATATTTTCTTTAGTATAAGTGTTGTGGTACCTTTGTTATTTCAGTTTTGTGTGTAATTTTTATCACACAATTATTTACTAATTTATACTTTCATAATAATATATATTAATTTTATCAAATATTTAGGGTTAATTTCAGTTTTCATTAGCTTTGACTTTTGAACATATTTTTTTGTTTTACCTTAATCACTTTCTTTGAGATCTGAGCAACGTAAGTGATGTGAGCCTATGTCCCCCCAAATCATCAGGCACATCTCTTCCCTATGAATTAATTGA